GAACAGGCCCATTAATCTTTATTGATGATGTAGCTCATGATGGTAGCAGCAGAATGAATTCAGAGGTCTACAGAAACATTCTGTCTGTCAGTTTGCATCGAAATTCATCCAATCTGATAGGGAGGAACTTCATCCTGCAGCAAGAAAATGACCCAAAAACCACTGCCAACTCAACAAAGGACTTCATCAGGGAGAAAAGTGGAAGGTTTTAGACTGATCTTTTCAATCAACAGACCTTAACCCAATTGAGCATGCATTTCATGTCCTGAAGAGGAGACTGAAGGGAGAAACCTTCTGAAACAAACAACAACTAAAAGAAGCTGTGCTACAAGCCTGGCAAAACAACACAAAAAAGAATGCAACATGTATTGCAAACATGATGATTGAGTGCTCAATCTTCTACCGCTTACTCCTTTTCAGGGTCGAGGGGGAACCTGGAGCCTATCCCAGGGAGCATCGGGCACAAGGCGGGGTACACCCTGGACAGGGGTGCCAGTCCATTGCAGGGTGCACATGTGCACAATCACATACACACTCACACACTATGGACACTTTGGACACGCCAATCAGCCTACCAGTCTTTGGACTGGGGAGGAAACTGGAGTACCTCGCAGCACGGGGAGGACATGCAAACTCCGCACACACACATTCCCCGGCAGGAATCAAACCCCGGACCCTGGAGGTGTGAGGCGAATGTGTTAACCACTAAGCCACCGTGCACCAAAGGTTTTTCATTTTCATTTTCAGTGTATAGCAAATACAAAAGAATTGGAATGTAATGGAATGTTCCAATACTTACTGAGTGGATTATATGAATCTAAAGCTAAATCAAATAGTTATGTCTTATTCAAAGCAGCATACCAGCACAGTATCATTTTGTTCAGCTAAAGCTTTATTAGCATGGCAGACCAATAGCATATAGGATTTTCATATACTTAAACCAGTTGGGAAATTCCTCCCAACCAGTTGTTCACCAACAAAATAAATCTTGCTCAAAGATCAAGGAGTATGCTAGAAGCTTTTAGAACCATTGGCACATAGCCACAACCTGGCATAACCCTGCTGTAACATAATCAATGTTAAATTTACCCCTACACAGTTTAGCCTCATTTACCAACAAACATATGCATTGTATACATGCTCTTCGGATAAAGATGAACGTGAGGGCAGCTATAGTGCTCAAGTTGGAATCATGACTGTTTTACTGAAAAATGGTGCTAGTCTTGGAAGGTCACAGTATTTGCTTTTCTACTCATTTCTAATTTTCTCTTCCTTAGCATGACATTGTTATAATTATACCCATATGGGTGGTTATGAAAACTAAAAAAGGAAATCACGACTGGGCTTTTTAAATTTTTTTTTTTTTATCTTGCGTCTTTTGTGCATATACTCATCATGTGTGATTTGAATTATGCAATAATAAATGTGATTTCAAAACTGTCCTTGAACACAGTGTGCCCTGGATTAAATTTGACAGGGTATGGCATTCATGCTGATTATCAGCAATTTTGATTACTGTTCACTAGTTATATAGTTAATATTGCCATATTTATCTGAATGGTGAGGAAATGTGTGGTAGCCATATTTTAACATAGTAGAATTGGCATTGCATGATAAATATGTTGTAATGAATAAAAATCACAAATGAGCTGCAGTCATTCTACTTGATGTTTAAAACACTCTAAAACACTGTTGTTAGTGCACAGTCCTTGCCTGCATGCTATCAAGTCTCAAAATCTCGTTACAGCTAAATGTTACTGTGTAAGTTAATAGATAACGTGTGTGCAAACATCAAAACCTCTCATTTAATATAATTCAGTTATATTTGCTTTGTAAAAGCTTTATTACCATTTCTCATTCCAAAATCAGTTTCTAAACTCAGTGTACAACACACTGGAGCACAGCAATGCTATTTTGAGATACTCATAGGAACCTGATCACAAGGCAAGGAGTCCAACCATATGCCGGTATTCCACTGCCCTTCATTCTACACTCTAGTCAGACAATAAAGGGTTAACAGAATGCCTTTAAACTCTGAATCCCCTCCCTCCACAACTCCCCCTGGAACATTCAACCTTACTGATTTACATAAGGCATATGTACGTATGTATATGTGTGTGTGTGTGTGTGTGTGTGTGTGTGTGTGTGTGGCCATAAATAGGAGCATGCTTGCTTAGAGACCTATTGATATTCAGTGACCTAACTGTAGGATCCGAGATCCTAAAATCTGAAGGATATAAAGAATACATTTCAGCTGCACTTGGAAACCTTTTAAAAGTCCCTTTTAGATATTGCTTTCTAGTTTATCGAGTTAGATTACAAACATGGCTGCAATGAATGACTTCACAGATGATGGTTCTTTCATGTTTACGTCAGAGTCAGTGGGAGAAGGGCATCCAGGTGAGGCTTTCTCTATTAAATTTTTTTCTACACTGTTCTGTAAAATCCCGCTGTAATTTCCTAAACTGTGTAGCCTAACACATGCAAACAGCCCAAGAGCTACTTGCTGACTCAGCGGTATATTTGCTTCAACAAGTGCTTGTTGAGAGGGTTAGGCAGTGCTTGCTGATCTCCCTCACATGACAAAAGAAAATGCAAAAAAGATACAGATTAGATTGCATATGGTGCAGTAATGTACACTTGTAACTACTAACACTGACCATTTATAACACAAGTGCTTAAAAAAAGATTTGTGCAAAAGGATTGAGCATGTGGTTAGTTTCAAAAGTTGTCTCACTCGATCATGTACTTAGCTGGTAATGCATTCAATGAATACTATAGTATACAAACACTCTACTTTTAGCAGTCAGTCCTGGTAGGAGTATCTGCACTAAATGTGCAAAAAATAACGTATCTGATGTCAGGTATTTGATCACATGGTTCTTAGAATTGACCTTGGTACTGACAAGGTTAATATTTTACTAAGAAAGCACTTCTACAGTCTTATGTGGGAATTAGCCAGACCTCCTGTTTCTTATTAGTAGAAGAGACTGTTCTTGGATCCGTTAATATGTGTACAAACTGACTGAAAGCCATGGCTGGATTGCACTTACTCCACAGAATTTTAAATGTAAAATGCAAGGTCAAATATGCAATAGAGTGACTGATGCAAATCTCTCATGAAGCCCCTGGGTCTCTTAGACAACCTTTGAAACTAAATCAGTAAAGCATGATGTGGGCTATTGATGTGGAGGGAAAAAGCAGAACATATGCATAATCTTTCTGGTTCACCCTTAAACACGCAGCATAGACATGACTCCATTGGTTTGTATTGATGTTCAGGCCTCATGAAGCTTCAGAGACTGTTTGCCCTCATTGTTTCTGATGTAATACACATAAGCTGTTGCCTCAGTGCAGAATGGGATGGAGTGCAGCTGAAAGCATGAAAGCATTCTCCTGCTCTTACTGGGACATATTTCTGAAGCATTCTATACTCCATTTGTGTGAAAAACCCAGGAAATCTAACTATCCAAAATAAGGGCATATAAAGCACAGAATTAGGACATATAAATGGGGTACATCATCCAACTTTATATTATCTTTGTATTAAATTAAAATCTCAATAGTTTAACATGTTCCTTTAAATGTCCCTTAATATCTGATTACAGGATCTTAATAATAGTTTGCACACATTAAATCTACTTTTCTTTTACATATGCCTGTCCTTTAGTTACTTTGTCAAATTCAATTTTATGTTATATTGATTCAAAGGGTTCATGTGGCAAGAACAAAACCGTAGCAAGTGATACAGACTCTGGAATAAAATCCTTACTGCTAGTTCAACTTTGTTTTAAAATAGGTTTTATTTTTCTGTTCTTGCTTTCTGTAGACAAAATTTGTGACCAGATCAGTGATGCAGTCCTTGATGCACATTTGAAGCAGGACCCTGAAGCCAAAGTGGCCTGTGGTGAGTACATAAATAATAAACTATTGTTTACTGCCTGTTAAACAGAACTATTCTCTCTCAGTTCTAACAATAGTCACTAATGATTACGGTAGTCCTCTAACGTAAAACACTAACACTGGTCTTCATTCAGCTTCATGCAATTTTTTCTTAGCTGTTATTAATCATGGTATATTTTCTAGATGAAGATGTATATGCCTCCGATTATGTTGTTTATCTTATATATTAGAGGCTGTCTGTAAGACTGGTATGGTGCTTCTGTGTGGCGAGATCACATCTAAGGGCAGTGTGGACTACCAGAAAGTTGTGAGGGACACCATCAAACACATTGGTTATGATAGCTCTGATAAAGGTAAGCATATCCTGACAAATGAAGTTTCAGTCATTTAGAAAAGTGTGTTTATGATTTGTTTGTGTATAATTTCTATCTGAGCTTAGGTTTTGACTATAAGACCTGCAATGTACTAGTGGCTCTTGAGCAGCAGTCTCCTGATATTGCACAGGGTGTACACATTGATCGGCGTGAAGAGGACATTGGAGCTGGAGACCAGGTAAAAACTAGTAATTGAATAACAGCATGAACTAGTGAATGAACTATAACTACAATGGATGATCACTCTATAACTTCTGCTTTGGCAGGGTCTGATGTTTGGTTATGCCACAGATGAGACAGAGGAATGCATGCCTCTAACCATTGTCCTTGCCCACAAACTCAATGCCAAAATGGCTGAACTACGTCGTGATGGCACTATTCCTTGGCTCCGTCCGGATTCTAAAACACAGGTTAGAATAAAACCTTATGGTAGATTTTTCTGCAATTGACTATTGACAGTAACTATGTGAACGATCAGCTGGTGTGGTCATCTCATCTATCTCTTAACCAATAATTGTAATTCACAATGAGCAAGATGATAATTCAATTCAATTTGATTTTATTTGTATAGCGCTTTTTACAATAGACATTGTCTCAAATCAGCTTTACAGAAATAGAAACACGGTATACAGATAATGAAGGTGTGAATTTATCCCAACTGAGCAAGCCAATGAGTGGTGATGGTGGCAAGGAAAAAATCCCTAAAATGTTTTAACAGGTGGGCGCATGGTGGCTTAGCGGTTAGCACATTGGCCTCACACCTCCAGGGGCTGGGGTTCGATTCCCACCGGGGCGGGAATTTGCATGTTCTCCCCGTGCTGCCTCCCCCCAGTCTAAAGACATGCATGATTGGCGTGTCCATAGTGTATGAATGGGTGTGAGAGTGTGTATGTCACAGGGTGTCCCCGCCTTGTGCCTGATGCCAGGTTAGGTCCAGGTTCCCTGCGACCCTGAAGAAGGAATAAGCGTTTGAAGATGGATGGATGTTTTAAGAGGAAGAAACCTTGACTCAGAAAGGAACACATTCTCATCTGGGTAACAACAGATATTGTGAAAAAGTTCACAATATCTGGATTTATATGAAGTCTGTATGGCCTTAGGAGCAGCCGTAGTCCCTGCAGTCTGGAATTAGAGAAGATTTGAGCTCCTTCCAGAGGCAGAAAGGATCTGGATCTCCAATATCTCCATAAATTCGTGCAGGGCTCGAAGATTATTACGACTGAAGTAGTAAAATAGAATCTAGTCAGGGTAGGTTTGAGTAAACAAATACGTTTTAAGCCTAGACTTAAACACCAAGACTGTGTCTGAGTCCCGAACACAAATAGGAAGACTGTTCCATAACTGTAGGGCTCTATAAGAGAAGGCTCTTCCTCCTGCTGTAGCCTTCACTATTCGAGGTACCTTCAAATAGCCTGCATTTTTTGATCTGAGTAGGCGTGGCGGATCATATAAAACCAAAATGTCGCTTAGATATTGTGGCGCGAGACCGTTTAGTGCTTAATAGGTTAATAAAAGTATTTTAAAGTTAATGCGAGATTTTACTGGGAGCCATTGCAGTATTGATAATATTGGTGTGATATGGTCGTATCTTCTAGTTCTAGTTAGGACTCTAGCAGCTGCATTCTGGACTAACTGGAGCTTATTTATATTCCTACTGGAACATACAGACAGTAAGGCATTACAGTAATCTAATCTAGAGATGACGAATGCATGAACAAGTTTTTCCGCATCATCTAGTGACAATATGTTTCTTTTCTTAGAAATATTTCTGAGATGAAAGAAAGCTATCCTAGTAATATTATCTACATGAGCATCAAATGATAGGCTGGAGTGAATAATCACTCCTAGGTCTTTAACTGCTGTACATGATGAAACAGAAAAACCATCCAGAGTTAATGTGTAATCAGAAAGATTACTTCTAGCTACACGTGGGCCTAATAAAAGTATTTGTTTATCAGAATTAAGTAGGAGGAAGTTAGTTAACATCCAACGTCTAATGTCCTTTACACAATCCTCAACTTTACTAAGTTTCTGTCTGTCCTCTGGCTTCGCTGAAACATACAACTGTGTATCATCAGCATAACAGTGGAAGCTAATTCCATGTTTACGAATAATTTATCCTAGGGGTAGCATATATAAAGTAAAAAGCAGTGGGCCTAAAACAGAACCCTGTGGAACTCCAAAAGTAACCTCAGTACGCATGGAGAAATCGCCATTTACATCTACAAACTGATAACGATTGGTCAGATAAGACCTGAGCCAGGAGAGGACTGTTCCCTTAATACCAACAACATTTTCTAATCTATCAAGAAGAATAGTGTGATCTATAGTATCAAAAGCTGCACTAAGGTCGAGTAACACAAGCAGCGAGACACGACCCTGATTAGAGGTCAGTAGAAGGTCATTTACTACTTTAACTAAAACTGTCTCTGTGCTATGATGAGGTCTAAATCCTTACTGATAGATTTCATGAATGTTGTTCCTAACCAAGTACGAGCATAACTGCTTTGCTACAACCTTTTCTAAGATCTTAGAGATGAAGGGGAGATTTGATATAGGTCTATAGCTGGACATTTGAGACAGGTCAAGGTCAGGTTTTTTAATCAAGGGTTTAATAACTGCTAATTTAAGTGATTTAGGTACATAGCCAATGTTGGACTGTTGACTCCAAACTTACAGTTGCCTGATCGAGTTCTATGATCTGACGGTGACATCATTTGTGATCTGACGGTGATTCAAATCTAATAGATGTTTCTGCGAGGTTGTTTATGAAGCTCGGTGCAGTAGCTGATGTGTAGGTACGTTTTACGTGGTAGCGAGGCGAGGTGGAAATATTATGATCAGTATGTATTATGAATGAGATAAGATAATGGTCTGAGACAACTTCAAACTGTGGAAAAATTACAATATTTTCTATACTTAATCCGTATGTTAGTATGAGGTCAAGAGTGTGACCACCATTATGAGTGGGCCCGATTATGTTCTCATTAATCCCTACTGAATCTAAAATGGACACAACTGCTGTTGTTAGAGGGTCTTCCAGGTTATCAAAACTAATATTAAAATCTCCGACGATAAGCATTCTTTTTTTTAAATGTGATGAAAATGACCCTGAGAAGAGGGACATTCAAGGGCCATTTGCCTCATATTTGGTGGGATGCTGCTGTCCACTCTGCATTTCCGGAGTCGCCTTTAGAATTTACCAGCAACCCAAGCTAGGGTCCTCTATGCAAGCTAAAACTTTCTTGCTCACAGTGTTTAGCCTTAATGTGCATGTCCTCCAAGTGACTATTTTACTGCCGCTGTAGATTCTTATTTAGAGCCCAGCTATGCCAGGGTCTTTATTGCTTATAGCCTTTTTAAGTTTAAGAAATTTCTGCAATAATGTATTATACATCCGGAGAACTCCCTTAATGAGAAAGATATAACGTGAATGTTCCTATAATATGCTTGGGTTCTCCATACCTGCAGGTGACTGTACATTACAAGCAGGAGAATGGAGCCATGGTTCCTATGCGTGTGCACACTGTGGTCATTTCAGTCCAGCACGATGATTTCATCTCACTGGAGGAGCAGAAGAGGATTTTGAAGGAGAAGGTCATCAAGGCTGTAGTGCCAGCTAAGTATCTCGATGACAAGACCATATACCATCTACAGCCCAGTGGCCGCTTTGTTATTGGAGGACCTCAGGTGAGTTTCTTCATGACACGTTCTTGGGTTTTCCTTCATGCCTACATTTACACAAGAATTAAATCATTATTGGCAACAGTTTGACCACTAATTTGGTTGAATCTCAGGGAGATGCTGGACTCACTGGGAGGAAGATCATTGTGGATACGTATGGTGGATGGGGTGCACATGGTGGTGGAGCTTTCTCTGGAAAGGACTACACTAAGGTGGACCGTTCTGCAGCTTATGCTGCCCGCTGGGTGGCCAAGTCTCTGGTCAAAGCTAAACTTTGCAAGAGAGTTCTGGTACAGGTGAGATAACACATTATCTTTGCCAATGTTCTCCCTGAAACTCAAATACAACACACTTCAGTAATAGAGGGCAGAGTGCATAAAACTATGGTCTTGTTTTAGGATGAAATTAACTAATAAACCAGTTATAAAACAATGATGTAAAAATATACAAATTCATGCACTTTTTATCTTTTTGTCCAGTTGTCTTATGCTATTGGAGTGAACCACCCACTGTCGATCTCACTCTTTACCTATGGTTCATCTGAGAAGAAAGAGAAAGAACTGCTTCATATTGTCAACAAAAACTTTGACCTTCGGCCGGGTGTTATTGTTAGGTAAACTGTTGTCTTCAGTGTGTTACTTTCTGGCCTAAATATTTATGTTAAACATAAGTAGCAGAAAAGACAAATGAAAGAGTAAGACTTTACAGCATGATTTATATGACACTTAAAAGCATGCTATATTCACTTAATATCCCATAATAATTATAATATATTAGAAAAAATCTGAAAAGAATCATCAACACCCCTTACACATGTTAATTTCACACTAATGCATTTTTTTATTATACCTATAATAAAATTGTACTATAATATAAGTTAGCATGAAATAGATGATAGAAATAGTATGAAATGTTTTTTCTAGCCACAGATTGTCCTAAAGGATACACAGAGAGCACAAGAGGCTAGAATAAATTTTTAGCTTAAAAAAAATAAACATAAACATAACGGTGTATTTTGGGCTAAATATACTAACTTTTAGAAGCCCCAGAGGTAGGTAAGATTCACCATGTTGTTGTGAGTTTGAATCCCAGTGATGCCACAGTCATCCAAGACCAAGATTCCAAGAGAACATATTTAGCCCTGCTTTCTGCATCAGAAGAATGGAATTACTATCTGTCCCATATCAATTAGAGCATTGCATCTGTCTGTGAACTCGTACATGAAAGAGAGCAGGTTTATGTCTCTTCCAAGCATGTTAGGCTATAAGCAGTAATAAATTACTTCTGTTGACAGGGACCTGAAGCTGAAGAGGCCCATTTACCAGGAAACTGCTTGCTATGGTCACTTTGGCAGACCTGAATTTACCTGGGAGGTTCCCAAGACCCTTATATTTTAAACTGAGCAAGGCTCAGGAGATGCTTCCATGAGACAACCAAGAAGACCTCTATTAGAATAACTGAGAGCAATCCTGCCTTCTCCCGTCCCTCATTGTTTTTACTCATCTCACCATCTGAATGCCAATATATTCATCTGAAACGAGGCTCAAAAGTGTATGAAAATTGTAGGAGTCTGCTTTTTATTATTTTTTTTAGAAGGAGCAGTCAATACAAAATAGACTATTTTGCCAAAAGTTTGTGGACACCTGTCCATCACACCCATCTGTGCTTTTTGATCATCCTATTCCTGATTTAGTCCCCCTTTGCATTTGTAATAACATCCACTCTTCTGGGAAGGCTTTCTACTAGATCAGGGGTCTTCAATCTTATCAGCAAAGGGCTGGTGTGGCTGCAGAATTTAATACCAACCAAATGGGAAGTTCACTTGATAGTTGAACAAGATGAACTGATTAAACAAGGGGAATCAGGTGTGGCTCCTACTTGGTTTGAATGAAAGCAGGCAGCCACACTAGCCCTTTGTGTATAAGACTGAATAACCCCTGCACTAGATTTTAGAACATGGCTGTGGGGATTTGCCCATTTAGCCACAAGAACATTAGTGAGGTTAGGCATTGATGTTGGGTGAGGGGACCTGAGGCGCAGTCAGCATTCCAAATCATCATTAAGGTGTTCAATGTGGTTTTTGGTTGCAGGCCACTTGAGTTCTTCCAGTCC